AAATTTCTTTCTTCATAATAATCTATCCTGTCGTGTGATTTAATTTCTTAAACACTTTAGTAGCTAACATTCTTGATTGCAGCAATAAAGGAATATCAGAGGTGCTTTCTGGAAAAAAAAAAGCGTTTGTTATTCTGTATTTAATAACTTTCTACAGTAGTAGGTAAAATGACAGTCTAATTTTGTCTATTCTGTCTAAACGTGGCTGTTATAAGTGTTGTGTCTTGAGTTGAGCCATGAAGCTTTACCTTTTTTTTTTTCCATTTGGAATAAAAGGTTTTTGTGCCACTCAGTGTGAATGAATGCATGCTTACATGCATTTTTAACTTACTAATTGCATTTTCAATTCTGTAATTGTATTTGCTCTTTGTATACATAAATACATAAATGACTTCAAAATAAATTGTATAACTAATTAATTTTATGCATTTGAGTTGAATAGGATAAGTCAGACTTTAAATATCTCAATAGAATAGAAAATCCATTGGAAACTGCAGATGGTTCCACTAGACTGACTGTAGCTTCAATATTAAATATTTATTTCAAAAGAAGTTTAGCCCAAAATGAAATACGAAAATTTAAAACTCCATCTTAAGACATGGAAACCAATTGTTATAGTTATGGGTTTGACAATTAAGTGCTAACAACCTGAGCACTCCAATTAGTTCTTTGGCTGTTGATTAGGATTCCATGGTGATTAGTGAGTGTGAGAATGCAATCAAGTCTGTAAGGTTTAATCAGTCCCGTGCTGGATGAGGAAGTCCAAAGATGGAGAAAGTGGAACTTCTATATGTAATCTTAGTAGGGGTTTTCCCCATGCTATAAGAAGCTGAAGGGTAAAAAGTAGAGAAGCCTATCTTTTCACCCCTGTCTAAGCTTCCAGGATTTTTAAATTATAGCACTGATTTTTTTAGTACTATGATGCAGGGGAATAATGTTGCTGATACCTCTGAAGGGCAGATAAGATGCATGGTGATACTCACATAGGCACCCTCTCTGATGTTCAGTATTTCATTCTTATTTGTCTTTCTATACCATGCAACCATGTATCTGGTTTTCCTTTTTGCAAATCTACTATTTTAGGTGTTTTGCTTGGACATTTGCATTATTTTGGTGTGCTTTATTTTCTTTTGTTATATGTTCTGACTATACGTTGTCATTTTAACATTTAAAGCATGTATCCTAAAAAAAAAATATAAATATGAATATTTTTCCTTCTGCCTTCCTGTGAAACAGATAAGTCAATGTTTATGTGCGTAGAAAAAAAGGACCATGGTGGGTACCCTTGTTGACATAGGAAACCCCAAAAGAAAAAACTTTTGGAAATCTCAGCACATGACTTCTCTGTGACCTTTCTGACTGAGCAAAGGTGACCATGTGCTGCATCTCCCTTTAGAACTATCTCCAAGGGAACACTCTTAACTCAGAGAAGAGATGGTATTGTTATTGTCTGGCAGTGCAAGCAATCCTCCTCCTACTGCCCCTTGGTTGCTGCTGCTGCTGTCCCACCTTTTCTTTCCTCTACTGTGCAGAGCTCACTTTGTGTAAATAACATTTCCCACTTCTGTTTGGTGGTTTGGGGATTTTTCTGTTATGTTATTTTCCATCAGCACCTATGGATCTGTATTTGTCATATATTCACATAAGGAAAGGTTGTTCCTACCCTGCAAAGCTTATAATCTAACTGCAGGAATCATGTCTTAAAGGACTGTTTTCTGAGAGCATGATGTGATTCAGATTATGATGTCTGAGTTTAATGGCAGGAGCTGTTCATTTTATGTATATTCATACAGTGTCTTAACACAATAGGTGTGAGTGAGCTTTGAAGTGTCTCAGTGAAAATAATTAGTAATAAGCATGGATAGACACCTGAACCTGTAGAAGGGTTAGGAAATTGCTGGGGCCCTTTAATTTGTGTTTAGAATATAATCTCTAAATGGCCAGAGTACCTTCCTGAACTGACCATCAGTCTGGAGAGGCCAAACATGTCAATTAATTAGGAGCTTCCAAGGAGTAAAATGACAGATATTTCAAAAGTACTAAGTATTTCTTGGTTCCTGTTAGCTGTCCCCTGCTTTTATGCTTACACTGTGTATTACAGAAAGCTGCTGTACATCAGAATTCTGTTTTTTCATTTTGTTTATATTTGGTTCAGTTGACTTTTGCCTCCTAAGGAAGCAAAAAATCACTAGGACTGTATTAAATATATTTTATAGATCTCTGAACAGGATTCTGCTATTGCATTTTTGGCTGAAAGGTCTTATATCTAGCAGGTTTTTTTGAAGTAAACTATATCATGTTGTAGCATATTAGAATCAAAAATAGTACATTATTACAAACATACAAGCAAAGCTTATAGGGAAGGAAATATCTCTGTTAGGCAATGTTTGTAGCTTAAAAGGGGTCCAAAACCATAAATAATTGTTTGAACACGCAAGTTCTTTTTAACTAGAGCCACAAGTGATAGTGGTTTTTCCTGAAGAGCGATAATACTAATTACTTCAAAGACAGAGAAAAGCGAAGGAAGAAAAAAAAAAGGCATCTTCTCTTTAGCTGTATTGGTAATATTTACATCTTCAGTTGCATGTTTTTTTACCTCCAAAACTCATTCAATGTAATGTAAAATCATGGAGTCATAAAAGCTGTCGGTGCATGTAAGGAGTGACAAGTTCATAAGTGGAGCACAAGTGGACTAAAACAATATAGCCCTGAACACTCATTTCTGTTTCATCAAGCTGCACTGACCTGCATAATACAGCCCAGTTCCAGTCTATATCTGAGTGCACAGGACACCTGCTTGTTATTAACAGCTGAGCCTTCAGCACCACTGCAAATATCAGGGAACAAATTTACACCAGCTACTGTGATCAGGTGTGCTTTTTTTCTCTCAGCCCTACCATACCATAACCATGGAATACTCTCAAGTATATGTGGGTCTGTGTTCAGTTTTTGCTATGTGCAACACACCACCCTGAGGGAGCAGTAAAGTTTTTAAATCCAACTTGAAGGCCAAAGAGATGAGGCTGAATTCGTGTAAAATTCGCATCTCTTGTTTCCAGGAATAAACAGACCATAATGATTAACTGCATTACTAAATATTAAAGTATCTAAAGTTAATCTAAGTTGTCTCATAGTCCCCAAAAGTAGTAGTAGTAATCTGTGGGATTTTTTACCCTACTAACATAAAGAAAATAGTACTTAAGTGAATCTAATACTTTGGAAAAATAAACCATTAGTTGGAAAGATGCTGGCAAAGAAAAGCTAAGTGAACTAGCTTTGCTGTGAAATTTCAGTAATCTTCCTTCTGGCCTTGGCTGCCAGACTGATGCTGAAGAAAAGCTTAAACATCCTCCCTCCCCTGTGCATATTATTACATGCCTCTGGAACTTTTTTCTTCTGCTCTGTTATTCTCTTTCTTTGTGAGCTCTTGCGAAAAGAAAGGGAATAGATTATAATAATATTGTAGCACCAATGCTATTGTGTTTGCAGTAGCCTTAGTCCAAGATAATGATTTGATTAGCATGGCTTTTTCACTTACTGGAATTAATGATACATGGATATTCCTTGGATTCTGTGCTTTCAGGATGATTTTTTTAAATCTTCTTTCTTCAGCTGTATCTCTTTGCAGGGAAGTTGGAGGTTTAAAGTAGGTATAGAGCCTTCATAATAGCCAAGGGCAAAAAATTAGTGCAATGAGTCATCACGGTAATTCCTGCAGATATTTGTGATCTGTGTCCTATGCAATGCATTTGTTCACAAGGGCCATTGTTCCTTAAGTCACTGATGATAGTTCTTCTAAATGTTTTCCCTGCAATGTAGTTGCTATGAATGAGGTTTGACATTTCCGATTTTGTTATTTGAATGGCCTCAAGGAGGCCTTGAAAAATTCGAACATGCAGAATATGAAATGCTTAACAAGAATGTTAAAGATAAACCAATAATTCATAGTGCAGTGAAGAAGCAGACTGATTCAGTGGATTCTAGCAAATGGAAGAGTTTTACTGGTGTTGAATTACATTTTAAAAAAGTTTTATTGATTTAATTAAATTGTTGGTAGAGCTATATTTTCTAAAATACTAAAACTTTTCCTCTCTTTCTTCTATAGCTTCTTTTGCTTCTTGCTATATTTAACAAGCAGAAGTTGTGTGTGTTGGAAGCAGTCAAAACAGATAAGCAGAGCTATTCCCTTTGCTGAGGGGGTTAAAATCTAGATCTTCCTGATACTAGTGACAATTTTGCTCTCAGCCTCAGGCCTTGAATCAAAAAAACCCACCCTTTAGTACAGCTGGGTTTAAGTTTTCTAACAGAAGCAATTATTGTAACTACTCAGGGACATCTGTACCACACTTAGAATCTCACAGGTTGTTTAAAGGGGAGCAAAAAGAGATCCTTTTTGAGTTAATTCAGACATTGCAAAAATGAAATAAAATCTTTTAGATATAGAGCTTTGTTTATTCCTTCCTCCTTTGTCCATTTTCCAACAAAACTTGGTGTGGTTCATATATCTGATCATTGTATTATAAATTTTTTATTCTTCTTAGTAGAAGGAAAAGAAATTGTTTTTAGCTTATAAAATAGAAGTAGTTTCACTTGTTGCTAGAATTTTTTTTATTCTCTTGAACTTCTACTGCTTCTAATTTTGTATTTCAAAATGTGTATATTTTAGTATGAAAACAATTATTTTTGCAACAAAGCAGTGCCTAGAGAGAGTGAGTAATAGCCACTCTCATTTCATCCCGTGTGCTTCTAATGTATATTAATTTTTTAGTTGATGGACTTGATAGACCTTTTTGTTTTGCATATGTAAGTGATTTTCAGCTTATTTCTTTGCTTTGATAATTGCAAATGAGACTTAAGCTTTTAGATATTGAATTTCAGTTTTGCAGATGATATTCATGCTGATGGTTTATCACAGCAGTGTGTCTTCTCTCTGTCACAGACAATAAATACAGCTTTGGCTTGAGGAAAGCTATTCTTTTTTTTTTTTTTTGTCTCTGTAGAAATACTGCAGCACAATCCAGCTTGATTCTGGAATAGACTACAGGAAACGAGTGCTTCCAGCTGCTGGAAAACTTTACTACCTGTAAGTTTATCTATGATATTGTATTTGCTCTCTTTTTCCTTCTTATTAGGCAATAATTTCCTATTCAATGGGAAATGAAAAATGTATAGTAGAATTAGCAGGGTGTGACTTTTCCTTTCTTTGCCTTCTGGTCCATTTTGTTCAGCAAACCGCCTTCCATTATGCCTTGATATTAACTTCATTAAACTACATTTTTGGTATCCACACTAGCATCATTTATAATGTGTGACTGAATAAAAACTAATTAGATTTTTTGGGGAGGTGTGGTGTTTGGAGAACTGAAGTGACAGATGGTTAGAAAGTAATGAATATCCTCTTGTAAGAGATTGCACAATTCTCTATAATAGAAGAACATCCTTATTGTATTTAAGTAATTAAGTATTTATAGAAATCCAATGACAAGGATTCGTTTAATTTTGGGTGTTTCCAATGCTGTGGATTAAAAAACCAACACCCTTCTGTTTTGACAGATTATTTTTGTTTATGATGACAAAATTTCTTTAGCACTTTATATTTGCAAATAAATATATTTTCAAATATATTCACAGTTGTGTTTCTGGTTGCAGCATAAATCTGCCTAATAAGAACATCCTCTTTAATACTTTGAAACCTTTGCAATGCAAACATTTTTCTGTCTTGTATTTTTTTGGTAATATTATTTAATCAATGACAACCTGAGCAAAGCAGATTACAGTAGCTTAATATTAGATTTATAATGGTTGTACCTTTGAAATAGTTATTTAAAAATCATGTTTCCGTTAAGAAAGGTGGGGTATTTTCATCGCTGTGTTGGGTGTTTGAAACCAAGTATGTCCATGCTGCTTTTTAATGAAGTTAGATGTTGTAGTTGAGGAATACTGCTTGGTAGAACTATGACTGGTAACTCTTCCTGCTTTTGAAAGGAAGTGACAGAATTTCATGTATGGAAAACAGGTCCAATGCAAGTTCTGTATCCTTTAACTGTGGCTGCATGAACTTGAGAAAAGTAGCTCTGGTTCTGTATTCTTGCCTGGCTCCACTTGCTCTGTGTGCTTTGTCACGCCTGCTCAGAAGTATTTTTTGAAGCCACCACTGATACCTGTGTGTTGCTCATCATGGCCCTCTCTGTTCTGAGTGCTGCTGTCCCTGCTTGTGGTGCTGCTCCCTGTGCCTTTCTGTTGAACACTTGTGGCAGGAGAGCACCTGCCACATTCTTTTTTCAATGTCCATACTCTGAAGAAAGGAGGAGGATGTTTGTGGTTTCTAGCAGGTTATAGGCCAAACACGGTGCCTGTGGCATCAGCTCTCAGAGGAAAAGCAATGCAAACAAGTTCCAGAAGTAGCACCCAACCAAAATATTTCATTGTGTTCTGCTGTAAAACTTGTGATCAAGTGAATGGCAGAGATTGGCAATAATTCTGTCTGATGTTTTTTTACTGGAAAGATGTTGGTTGCCTTGAGAATTTGATATGTAAATCATTAGGAAGCAGTAGGGGGGAAAATTATTAAAAAACCCCCATACCTGTCAATGGAATTAGGTACTTTTTTCTTTGTCCTTTCTTCTTCTGAGGGAATCTCATTCATTCTTCTATTCAAATTGGTTCGTTGGAGTTTTCAACTCTGTGGAACTAGCTTAGTATGTGGAGATTCCTTTTGTTTTGTTTGTTTTAAAATTAGGTACTGTACAATATTTTGCTACAGATTTCTGAAATTTAATTAGCAGTCTTGTCCCCCAAAGAAAATATTCTTGTTCAACATGTATATGTTCTTCTATTAATGGCTATAGCATCATTGTCACATTTTTTTAAGAATCTTCTTGATGCTTCATATGTTGTGTAGTCCTGTCTTAATTTAAAATATGTAACTGAGGATTACTTAAAGCTGTTTCATTCTCATCTAAGAGCAATCAGTGTAACATGATTACAAGATGCCTGATCAAAGCAACTTCATCCATCTCAGTCTCAGGTGTCAATTTTCAAAACAGATTTTATTGGCATTTAGGTACAAATATCCACCTTAGCATCATATTCACCTGTTTTTTGTGGTAGCCTTTCAACTGAAATTTCTGTTACTGATATGCATGCACATGCTCTCTGAGTCTGATACAGATATATATATATATTTATACACACATGCACACACTCTTTACCTCTTTTTATGGCCTTTTTTTTTTCTGGTGTTGTCTGTACTTTTTCATTTATCATTTTGTCAGAGGAACGCATCACACCAATATCAATCTTGGGAGAAACTTCTAGAATTTTATGTAACCTCCTAGCCAGAAAAGGTTTCTAAAGTCTTCGAAATGGCACTTTCATAAGTTTGTGGGGGTTTAATTTTTTTTCCCAAATTCTTTGTATCTACAAGGTTTGTCATTGTTAAGCTTTAGCTAAAAAGTAGTTACTTCAGTTCTGCTGTTAACATTTTTAAGGTGCTTAAGGCCTAATGAGCCGGAGAGTATTTGTTTAACAAGCTGATACTCATTTGTCAGTTAAGAGGATGTCTAGAACTGTGTGAAGCAGTGTGACTTCAGTGCATCAAGATCTATAAAATAAGACTTCACACAAGAAGAGTTTACACAAACTTCGGTGGAACATCATATATCCTAGTTCTGGTTTGTTGTCTACTGTAACATTAATGTACTATTCTCAGCTAGAAATCTTATCTATCTATTCATCTTTACGAATAAAACATGGAAAGGTTGGCTCTCTGACCTATTCAGTTACTAAAACAAAAGTTGTCTGATTGGAGTGATTTTTTAATTGTTGGCCTTGAAGATGAATGTAAACTTTACTTCAGCTATCAGCACAGATATTTTGCATTTCACCATCTCTGGTTGATCTTTTCCTATGCAGTATTAAGAAGAGAGGTTAGGAACAGGGAAACTGCTGAAACTGCTAATGCAGAGATCATAGTGATATTATTAATTTCACAGTTTAATTTTGCAAATTGTTTGGTCAATACAATCATTGACTTGACATAGCATCCCCCCTCCTCAAAAAAAAAGAAAAATTTGCATCAACATTTAATTCCAAAGTCCCCTCTTAGAAATTTCAAAGGATACTTCTTTAGGTGCTTGACTGCCTTGCCTTGTCTATTTGCTCTTACTTTGCATGCAAGATAGAGCCAGAAGCCTTTTTTCTCATTGTGTACACATAGTGTTAATGGATCTGCTCTGCCTGTATTGCCTCATTACTGGAAACAGCTCAAAACGCAGAAGTCTTTCAGTGTATGCAAATAAGGCAGAATCATCTACCTGAGAGTTAATATTCTCTACTTTTAGGTGTATTCTAAATGTAATGTTTGTATTTAGAGCATAACATCCTGTTCTCTTTTTTTTTTATGGGCAAAAAGCTAAGCAGGCTCAGGCAGCTGTTTGATGTTGGCTTCAAGTGTTATTAATTTCATATTCTATTATTCTTTTCACTGTAGCACAAGTGAAGCTGATGTGGAGGCTGTCATGGATAAGTTGTTTGATGAGCTGGCTCAGAAACAAAATGATTGTACGTAAGTTAATTTCTCTTGAAAGAGAATACATTTGGAACACAATGCCCAATCTCCACTGACCAATTAATAAGTTCCATTGCTGTATATGGGTTGATGCCACACTCAAGTGGCAGTCATTGTATCAGCATTTTGTCTAATTTATGTGTTGAATCATGTGCTATTATTCATGAAGCTATGCATTTCCTATCTGTAAGAGATGAATTTTATAGTAATTATCCAGAGAAGATTGAGTCTTTGTTCATGTTCCCATAGTAACTAGACCAAGGATTCTAAAAGTGCAAGGCAGAGAGCTGAGGCTGAATAAAGCGTGTGGAACCATTGCAGACTTCACGTTTGAAGAGCTGTGCGACAGAGTGAGTACCCAGTCCAATCTAGATCGGTTAATGCTCAGACTTTTCACAGTTTAAAAAAAATAATTCAAACCACACAAACTTGCTATTTTCCCAAGTTGCACTAAATTAAAAAGACTTTTTAAAAAAACTTGATCAACAGGAATATTTTTAATTTAACAGGGAAAAAAATCCTTTCTTCAGAAGAGCCATACTAATTTTCTTTTTAACTATATAGTAAATTCACTCTTAGGTGTATCACAGATTATCTTCAAAAATCCTACTACAATATATGCCTGGGCTAACATCACTACTGGTATATGATGGTAATATGTAAATAGCAGTCAAATGCTGTTTTTATAATGTGGGGTTTCAGTTTGATACTCAAGCAAAGGAGTAGTGATCCTGGCACCACTGAAATAACACTGCTGTTCCATGCTGTGGTTTGAACTGCTTTTACAAGGAATGTTTAATCCCAGGCCTTCTCAAAATACACCAGATTTTGCTAAATACTGCCACATTATCTGCTTAAACATGTGAGATATGAATCTTGAAAAGTTCTCTTTGTATTTGACCTCCAGTGGGTTGGAAGACAATTCCCCAGGAGTTGCACTGTACTTCAGTGGTCTCCGTACTAATGTCTGAAGTTGCTGTTAAATGATCACAATCCTAAACTGGGCCAATAGCACTTTTAATTCAGGATAGTGACCAGTCTTTTGCTGGTAACATTATGCTTTCACTTCCTTGCAGCTACAGAGTTGATAACTGTTTGGACAGAAATTTCACTGGTTTCTATTTCAGACTGTGTAGGTATTAGACTGTTGATTTTCAGTTTCAGACAAAACCAATATGCCATTTGTAAGAGTGGAGGTGTGTCATGGGTAGAATAGCTTGCTTTTCACTAAAGGTTTTGAGACTTTTTCTGCCTTGTGCCTCTTCAAGTATGGGAAAGCTATGCTGTCAGCAAATACTAGCACAGTTCTTTAGTCCAGTAAATGCCTTATGTACTTAAATGGGATAATAAGTTGTTCTAAGTAGAAGTGCTCTGATTAGCTCACATGTCAGTGGTCTGAAGATTATCATCCTGTTCAGGATTTATTTGGGGTTCAGATCATCTTGGCATAATAGAACTGAGGGTCTTGGTTTTTCACTTAGAGCAAGTAAAAGAGAACCCTTATGAAATGTTAATCTTGTTTAGCAGTATTCTTACATGGATCGCCCAAGACTTAGGAAATCTTGCTGTCTCAATTCAGATACCTTCTGCAGATGTGTCATGGTAGTCTCTTATAGCAAAATCACATGCTTAAAACTAAAACAACATGGCAGACAGTAAATGGTTTTCTCTTGACAACTTCCTCAGTCATTGCTGATTTTTCTCTTCAGATCGTTCTTGTATCTTCATAAATATTACATTAGTATGTTGCTAAGGGGTATCAGTGTGCTCCCTTCATGGGCAGAAAAGTATAGTCATGAACTTCAGAATTGTCTGTTAAATTTAGATGAAAAGCTTCCACTGTTGCTTCCACTGTGATTTTTTTTTCATTACTTTAAACTTTTGCAATGATAGAAAATTTCCCCCACTATAAGCTGCATTTAGGACTTTGCCTGCCCCATTCCTCTGCTTACCTGACTTGCTGCCATTAAAATCTGCTAAAAGGAAAAATTCAAAAAAGGAAAAATGCCATGAAGCCCTCTTCCTTTTTTTCAGTAATTCTTTTGACTTTTGATGGAAAAAACTTAAACATGCAGTATCTTTTTTAAAAGAGAGGGAAATTGCTCCCACTCATGTCACTGAAGACGACATAGGGAGGATCCAGAAGAGTGCACTGGTGGTTTATAGCAAAAAATAACCCAAAATGAGGAGACATTCAACATGACAGGAAGTATAAAGTCATTTTATATTCCAGTAAGCTTGCTAATAGTGGGAGTGATTTGTGGAGGGATAAAGCAGAAATCTGTAGGGGACATAGCAACAAGGTATTGGCTACTTCTTGTGAAGCCAAATGGTAGATAAGTTGACAGGCATCATTAGTGCTACTATCAAAAAAAGGAAAGTAGAAAGTTGAAAAAGATGGAATGAAAAGAAAGGTTGACAGAAGAAAATACTGGAGGGGAATTTTTTTGGATTTGCATGGAGCAAATCTGCAGATTTCTTTGTGCAGGACATGGGGACAAAATTCCATGGGAAGGCAGATTGTATGAAGGGACATGGGGCAGGAAATCTTTCTCGCTGGAGACTTGCAACCAGAGTGGAGCTTAGTTGACAGCTCAAGCAAAGCCTCCAGGTACAGAAATGAAATCTGAAGTTGGTTGTAGGAGCTCATTAAACTTCTAACAGAATTGAAAACAAGATTTGCAGTTGGTTTTGTAACAGTTGTTATAAAATGTGGTGACAAGCATGATAAATGGGAAATTCTCATTAATGGGGGAAAATGAGAGATAATTACTATTATTGAAACCTTGTGGGAAAATTCATAAAATAATACAGAATGGGTGCTTATGCCTACTAAAAGAGTGGCTAAAAGAGATGGAGAACAGTGTGCAACACTGAAGGTACTGGTATATCTGCTTTAAAGTTAAGTAATACAAGGTTCCTGAGTACATATCAGTCTACTAATTAACAAACCCAGAAGAAAAGTACTCACGGAGATCTGTTGCAAAGGGAGCATGAGCTGGATTGCTCCTTGAGCATTTGGCTATAAAAAGGATATAAAGAAAATACACCGTTGTATGTTACGCTGTAGATGAAACACAGGAAAAGGTGAAATGTAATTAGCCAGAAAATAGAAAATGAGCATTTTCTAGCATAAAATGTACTACATCCAATACAAGATCATTTGGTTGGAGCTTACAGTGATGAATTAATCTAGAAATTTGTGTTGTGTAGGAACAAACTTAATTTTCCAACATTTAATTAAACCAAAAGATATTCCAAACAGTGAAGTTGCACATTTGAGTGTTCAGGAAGAGTAACTTTCAAATGCAAAAGGGAAGTGTAAACAACAACAACAAAAAGAGCAACACAAACCCAAGAAGGACTCTGAGGAGGAAGACAGTAGAAGGATTTCCTGTGTCATTCTTGAGACAGAATCAAATAATAACGGAATGGATGGCAACTAGTTATGAAGGGCAGGAAAATTATAAAATAAAGGTCATGGGCAAATATGTCCCTTCAGATAAAAGACTGAAGTAAATTTGGAGTTTTGATGTTTTATATTATTCAAATGTTACTGGCTTATTCTTAGCTGGAGATGGATGAAGAGTTTTGAATATAACATAAAAGCTAATACAAACTTGCTGTAAATACAGAGTACTGTGTGTATGGGGGGAGGAGCAATGAGGAAGAGCATGCTGTGTGTAGTTTATTTCTTATCAGAGCTGATATTTTGGGGAAAGGGTTGGGGTTTTGTTTTTGGTTTGGTTTGGGTTTTTTGGGGTTTTTTTTTTTGAAAGTTTGTTTTGTTTTACATCTAAGCACACACAGCCTCCTTTTACTGTGAAAACTAGATGCCATTTTAGGAGGAAGCTTTTGTGTTTGAGCTACATACTAGTTTTTAGGCTTAGCCATCTCTAAAATGCAGGAAGTACCCAATGATCTTTCCTGATTTTGAAGTGCCTGAAAGTAGAGATGTGAGGGAGTCAGGGTCCTTGCTGCCTCTTGGCAGCTCTCCCTGCCCCTGCACATGCAGTGAACAAGTTCAGCAGCCAGCAGGGGAATGTGCCCAGTCCTTCTTGAGGGAATAACCAGCTCTTATCCCCCTCATACTTCTGGGAGTAGGCAAGACTTCTCAGTCTATGATCAATCTGTGCAGTCAGTTCAGACTGAGTTTTTCCAAGGCTTATAACTTCCTTGGGTTTGAGGGGGGTTTCACAGAAGCATATAGGAAATTTCCCTCATACTAAGCAACCTTTCTTTGAAATTCGACATATCTGGTCTGTATCATGGAAGTACTTACAAGTTACAATGTTATCTTGGAGTTGCAGTAGTATGTTTTTAGCTTTCTGAAGCTGTTGCATACCACTGCTCACGTGGGTGTCAGTAATCATTGCAGCATGAGTGAACAACATTGTAGTTAAAACCTGGTTAATTGATTCCATTGGCTATCCGTTACCCTTAAGGGTTCCAGAAAAAAAGAATAAGTTTTACAAGAATCAACATGTGAAAGGATAGATGCTTTTGTTGTGTTGGCAAAATAGCTTATCACTCAAGTGACTCTGCTTTCACTTCACTGCTGCTGTCTTCTAGTCTGGTCTTGGTTAACTTAGCATTCCAAGGGATAAATATCCAGACCTAGAAATCTACATTTGCTTGTGTAGGATTAAAGAGATATGTTCTAAATTTCTCAGGTAATTACTTAGTGATTTCTGTAATACAATATTTCGCATGAACAGCCTGTAAAAACCCTTCAATTTCACTGAAGTTTCCTTTGAAATAAAATCAAAATTATGTTTTAAGGGGAAATATTTTTTCACTTTGATATCACATAATTTCATGAGATGACAGCTAATACATAATAGATGAAAATAGCAAATCAGCAATTGGTAACCTGATACTATTTGTAAACTGTCCTAGCTTTAGTAGAATTTTCATAATAGCCGCTTTTTAATTAATACCTGGACACCTTGGGAGTTAGAGTTAATACCTTTCTGGTATTACGGTATTTCATTCTTGTTTCATATGTTAGCATCAAACTTTTTCATGTCAAGAGTATAAAGAGTTATTTCTGTCTAAAATTATGCATCAGATACTGGTAATTACTGGTTGTCCATTAATGTCTATAAAAATAAAACACAGAGAATATATTGTATGCAATGCTGATATGACATGCAGGTGACTTGCTAAGCTATTTTGTGCATCAATTTGTAAATCCTGGTTTCCCAGTTGAGAATAATCCCAAGTTTTAGCTCATTTAGTTAATATCAAATTCATACACTTTGCTTTTTTTTTTTTACTAGCTACGTGAGCATGTGGAAAACCAAGAGAAAACTGGATGAGAGGATACTGATCTATTTTGGTTGCTTTA